AGAGTGAATATAAATATTATACTTTACATTTCAGTGTCTATATGCTTATTCTAGTATATAAAAATGCAGTTTTTCTTCTTACATGTTTGTCTTGTATCCTGCAACTTTGATGAACTCATTAGTTCTAGAATTTTTTCTTGTTGGTTCCTTGTGTAATTTTCTATGTAGACAATCATGTTATCTGCAAACAAAAGCAGTTTTATTTCTTCCTTTGTGATCTCCGTGCCTTTTATTTGCTATTTATGCTTTATAACACTGGATACCATTTCCATCACTAGGTTAAATCAAAGTGGTGAGAGTAGACATTTTTCCTTGTTCCAAATTTTAGGGAGGAAAAGTGTACAGTCTTTCTCTACTAAGTATAATGTTAACTGTAAGGATTTTTTTTAGCTGCTCTATATAAAGTTAAGGAAGTTCTACCTTATTCCTATTTTCCTCAGAGTTTTTATTATGAATGGATGTTGAGTTTTCTCAAAAGTATTTTTCTCCATAGATTTGTACAATTTTGTCATTTTTCTTTGTTAGCCTCTTATTATGGTAGGTGAAATTCGTAGATATTCAAATGTTGAAGCAGCCATGTATCCCAAAATAGATCCCACTTGGTAATGGTGAATAATTCTTTTTATACATTGCTGAGTTCTATTTGTTAATATTTTGTTAAAGAATTTTGCATCTATATTAATGAAGGATATTGATCTGTAGTTTTTCTTTGTTATAGTATCTTTGTATAGTTTTTCCATCAGGTAATACTAGCTTCATAAAATGAATTAGAAATGTTCTTTCTTCTGTTTCCTAGAATTTATTGTGTATAATTAGTGCTTATTCTTCTTTAAACATTTGATAGGATTCACCAGTGAAAACATCTGGGCCTTGAGATATCTTTTTTGAGGAATTTTTAAGTTGAGAATTACATTTTTTTAATAGTTACAGTTATTCGAATGACCTGTTTCATATTGGGTGAGTTGTTGTAGTTTGTGTGTTTTGAAGAAGTGGTCCATTTCATCTAAGTTGTTGAATCTATGTGTTGTATAGTCAGAGTACTCCAGAGAAACAGAACCAATACGGTATACAGAAAGATTTATAAAAGGAGATTCATTATGGGAATTGCCTCATGTGATTATGGGGGCTGTGAAGTACCACAATGTGCCATCTGCAAGCTGGAGACCCAGGAGAGCCAGTAATTCAGTTTCATTCCAAAGACCTGGGAACCACTGGTGTAAGCCCAGAGTCCAAAAGCCTAAGAACCAGGAGTGCTGATGTCTAAGGGAAGTAGAAAATGTATGGCCCATTTTCTCTCAAGAAGAGAAAAAAAATTGCCCTTCCTTCACCTTTTTGTTCCATTTGGGCCCTCAGTGAATTGGATGATGGCCACTCACATTGATGAGGGTAGATCTTCTTCACTCACCCTACTGATTCAAATGCTAATCTCTTCTGCAAATAGCCTCACAGACACACCCAAAAATAACATTTTACCAGCTATCAGGGTATCTTTTAACCCAGTCAAATTGACACATGCAATTAACCATCTTGTGTTCATAGCATTCTTTTATTTTCCTTTTGATGTCTGCAGGATGGGTAGTGATTTTTTCTGTTTTATTCCTAATACTGGCAACTTGTGTTTTCTCTCTTGTTTTTCATCCTCTTTTTCTCTGTGTTTTTAACTGGGCATGCTAATCACTTCTCTTCCAGTTCCCTGATCTACTACTCTTCATTTGTATTCAACCTACTATGAGTTATATATTAAATTCTTAACTGTAATTTATGTATTTTTTAATTCTAACATCGACATTTGATTATTTCTAAGGACTCCAGTTCTCGGGTAAATTCTCTAATACTCGGCTCACCTGTGAATCTGTTTCTATTGTCTGTGCTTTCTCTTGGTATACTTGATAATTTTTTAGTTCAATGCCAGATAATGTATATGAAAATTATAAAGATTCTGCATGAAATTGTCTTCTCCAAAGGAGGTTTAACTTCTGGCAGGCAGCAAGCTTAAGGAGAGATCTAAATCCAATCATGTGTTGAAGTAATTTGAGGCTGGGTTGAAATTTTTAGAAGACTTGGTCTATTAAGCTGGGCAGTGGTGTGGGCCTGTAGTCCCAGCCCCTTAGAAAGCTGAGGTGAGAGGATTGCTTGAGCCCAGGAGTTTGAGGTTGTAGTACACCATGACAGCACCTGTGAATAGCCACTGCACTCCAGCCTAGGCAACATAGCAAGACCCAATGTCAAGAATAAAGAATTGTTCTATTTCTTACTCTTACAGTATTACTGCTAGTGTATATACCTTTTTGGGCCTCAGAGATGAGGAATCTACCAAGGTACCTCCACCATTTATAAATCTATAAAGGCCTCAAAGAAAAGGGTGTAGAATGTTGGACTCATCTCCATGCATTTCCATTCTTCTCAGGGTCTTGGCCTCCAAATTTTGCTTGCTTTCTAGGTCTCTAATACTCTCATTGAGGTTATTTTTAAATATTGTTATCCAGCTTTTCTGCTTTCCAAAAGAAGGTTTTGTCTGCTGTAAAATAAGCAATCAAAGCCATAAGTGGAAAATACTCATAAACCAGTTTAAGACAGGTAAGTAAGTTGAGAGAGTCTGTTTTCTCAATGAAGTACTAGTTTAGGTTATAGACTATGAAGTGAGAGAGCATGAAATTAAATGATGGAATAAAGTGCTGGAGGAGAAAAGAAAATGTTTGAAATAATCATTATGGGAAAATTGAAAGGGATTAGAAGTAAAATTATTTATTCCTCTTCCCTGCCATATATTGTAGGTGATCTATATTGTGGATGCAACTGACCAATATTTTTTTTTCCATCCTAGGTGACTTACTGAGTTACCTGAGGAAAAATGAAGATTGTATTCATGTGTGTATTATCGCACTTTCCATTGAAGAGAAAGAAAATGAAACAATACTTACTTTTCTGTTCAACAATGAAGCATACCATTCACCATCTCTGTCCCTGTCAGTGTTAGACAACGTTCTTTTCAGGTTACTTGCTGGCAAGGAGGCTTCCTTTACAGTCTCCAATAAACCTCAACCAATCCCTGATGAGAGTGAAGACAATGAGGAGTATGTGATCGTTTTTTATCATAATTGAGTTTTACACTTTAAATACATTCTTCCCACCCTATCTGATCACATTTATATGACAAAAATAGATATTGATAGAAATCTGTCTTTTCTGCTCTGTTGATTCTCTGATATATCTTCCCTCTGTAGGATTATGAATGGACATGACGTGGCTTTAAATTTACAGTTCGGCATGGCTCTTTTGGTCAGCGGATTTTGTCTCTTGACAGTGACTGAGAGAACCACTAAAGCAAAGAACATTCAGTTTTTGAGTGGGGTCTCTGTCTTTGCATACTGGCTTTCTGCTCTATTGTGGGATTTCATCATCTTCTTCATTTCCTTCTTTTTACTAATGGTGAGTGTTAGATAAAATTTCTCAAGAAATTTTATACCCCATGGAAAATGCCTGGTCTAATGTTTTCATAAACCTAGCAATGTCAGTAAACTATCTTTGCTCATTAGTGTGGAAGACACATTGCAAAAGTCTCATGGTAGAAACTTTCTCTCCCATATCCTTAATTAAAAGAAAATAGATTCTTTGGAACAGCACAAAGACCTCTTACAGACTAATTTCCCATTTATTTTCTCATCAACTTATGCTGACACCCCAAAACTGAGACATATTCTTACATGTAACGTCTCATACTACCCAGTCTTGCCTAGTTGTGTCCTCTAATACTGTGGTCCCCAACTCCCGGGCCATGGCCTGGTACCAGTCCATGGCCTGTTAAGAAAACAGGGCCACGCATCTCCACCTGGGCTCTGCCTCCGGTCCCGACCTCCTCCACCTCCGTTCATGGAAAAATTGTCTTCCATGAAACCAGTCGCTGATGCCCAAAAGATTGGGAACCACTGCTCTAATAGTACTTCTGGAGATATTATTGCCAACTTTTTTAGTCAAGTTTCTATCAGTTTATTTTAAAATTTTTATTAAACACCTGCTATCATACAGACACTATCCTGGGATTTAGTGTGTGGTTTGTTTAAATCCTATCTCCTGGTTCTCCTATTGGCATTCCTATCCAAAGAAGCTATGTGTAAAATCACTATTTAGCTAAACAAGTGCCCAGTAATTTCCAATCCTGACCTTCACAGTTGTAAGTGCTTTGAAGACCACATCATAGATTGGAGAGTTAAGGGAGGTTCATTGTTTTTATTCACTCCAAATTTGTACCCATTCAATTTCTGTCAGTGGGGGATTAGAACAAAGAGTAAAATGTATATGAATGCATACCTCCCTGTTCTCTAGTGAAATGTGGCCCCATGTGTGTTCCCGAAAACTGCCCAATCATGTTAAAAATTTCTTCCTTTTGGTGTGTTTGTGTGTGTCAGTGTGTCTTTGTGTGTGTTCGTGTTGGGGGTGTGTGGATATACACACTTTGGAGGTGGTGAACAGTGGTAAATATGAAAGGTAGGTATGGTGTACATAGAGGCGAAATCACTGGGGTGGGGGCAAGTTTCTTTCCTAATGGTAGATACTAAGAATTTAATTAATCATTAATAAGAATATGACTCATCTCTCAAGTAGTTTACTGTTTAGTAACAGACATAAGCTAACCATGAAAATAAATCAATTATAACAGAATATACTGATTTTTACCATAAAAGTGTATACTGCCATTTTCCAACCCAACCTGTACAATGAACCAGAAACAGTGCTTTATCTCCTTTATACCTCCCATTCTAGTCATCTCCTGATTTTTCTTCCATTTCTTTTATCATTTCCTTCTTCTCCTTGTTCCCTTTGTTCTTAAAAGTCCTTGGGAGAATTTATTTAAGTTTTGTGGCAGTGTACTCTCAAAAGTATGTGTGTATGAGTGCATGTGTGTGTGAACATGTTGGCCTGAATTCTACATGTATATATGCATACTTTTGAAAGGAAAATAAATAGGTAAACATTCTTATCCCAAGGTTGAAAGGCATCAGGAAGTTCTATATATAAATACATCCTACATACTGTTACACACTGCTCTGTGGTCAAGGACCTTCATGCTAGAAGTGGTAGGGAGAGGGTTGTTGTTGGTAATATGGAGATAAATTTTGGTACAGAGATACCCATGTTAGTGTCTGTTAGTACAGAGATACCCAGGTTAGTAAACTGCCGGAAGTTCTCACTATGCACATCTTCTATACTGCTGCATGTGTCATTCACTGTGGCCAGCGAAAGTTATGCCATACTACTTCTGCTCATGGCAAGAGCAAACATCTATCCCTTTTGAGGGCCACTAATCATGTCTGTCACTACAGGAACTGCTGAAGTAAAGGAGCATTGCTTCTGGCACCATTATATTCCTTCCACCCTTCCCTGCCAACTGATGCAGTACGCACATATACTGAGAGAATTGAAATCAATCAGATCATTCCTGAGTCTTCAAACTATTTTTTAAGCTGCATTTCCAAAGGTTTGATGTGTCATATTCAAAATATTTCCAGATTTCTTAAAACGTGAAATTTTAGAAGAGTAATGTTTACTACATGGTTGATATTCTTGTTATCTTTGTGGCTCATAGCTTAATTTAATATGGCTGGAGAGCGAATGAATGATCATTTGAAAGCAATTTAAAAATTGGTCAATTTTTGGTACACACTCTAATACTACATAAAAGGATTATGTATTCTCACTTACAACCTCAGTTATGAAGCTAGCATAACCCCAATACTAAGGCCGGACTATGACATAAAAGAAAATCACAAGCCAGTGTCTCTGATGAACATGCATGTGCAAATCCTCAACAAAATGCTGGCAAACTGAATTCAGCAGAACGTTAAAATTATTATACAGGGATAGGGTCAAGATGGCCGACTGGATGTGGGTAGTCTATGCCTCCTCTATGGAGAGAAATCAGAATAGTCAGCAGATTCTCACATTTTGAACAGATTGTCTAGGAGAGAATGCTAGTATTCACCAGAGAAGCAGCAGGAAGCACCAAAAAAGTGGGTAAGGAGAGGGTTCAGGGCAACTTGCCCAGCCAGGGCCTGGCTGACAGCTGAGAGAAGCTCTTGGATGTGGGAAAACAGTAACAGAGAAGCCTCCAGGGCTTCTCCAAGATAAGCTTTTACAATCTTGGCTACAAGAGAACCCCACAACCCACACAGGTCTTGGGCCTTACATAGGGAGCTGCTTGGAGAATGTGCAGAGATATTATTCCAGAAAGGGAATGTGTGTGGAATCCCACAGGCTTCAGAACCTAGAGCAGCTTATGCCCAGCACCATTCTGAGAGCCCAGAGCCCGGGGAACCACGGGTGCACCTGCAGCCACAGCACAGCTCTGAGGAGAGAGAGAGAAGCCCAGGCGCTCCCACACACCCCCGGGAAGGTGTCCACTGCCCTGCTGTGGGCTGCAGGTAAGACTGAGATGTATACAGACAGCGTTTTCCACAGTTTCTCTCCCATGCTGACTGCCTGGGTGGGGCCCCCAGCCTTTGCTGTCACAGGTCCAAGTTCCATTTTGTGAGTTTCACACTGGGCAATGCCCTGCCCATGGGCTGAGTTTACGCTTGACATAGCAGCAGCCCTTGCCTGGCTGGGGAGAGGGCAGGGAAACCCACCTTTCCAGCACACATCTGGGATGGTGCCCACCATCCTGCAGTGAGCTGCTGTGGGACGTAGTCTCAAGCAAACTTCACTCCCCACAGTGTCCTGCCAGAGCGGCCTGCCTGAGAAGGGCCCTACCTTCTCTGGCCACAAGCCCAGGGCACCACTATGGGAGTTGGAAGCTGGACAGCACCCATCCCTCAGGCTGAATTTGGACTGACACAACTCCACCCAGCTGAGGAGGAACAAGGGAGCCTAAGCTCTCCTATATACAACTAGGACAATTCATACCAGCCTGGTACAGACTGCGGAGAGACTGAGATGCAAGGGGATGGCACTCCACTCAGCAACTTGCCCACACTGTTTCCCTGGAAGAGGCCCCACTGGGGAGTTTAAAGCTAGGCAGTGCCCCACCCTTGGGCTGAACTTGAGCTACTGCAGGCCTGCCCAGCTGAGGAGGTGGAGGGGAGTTCAAGCTCTCCTACCTGCTCCTAGGATAGTTCCCACCACTGTACTACAAGCTGCAGTGAGACCAAGACAAGAGCAGATAGCACTGCACCCAACATCTTGCCCACACTGCCTAGAAGAGGCCCCTCTCTCTATGGTCACATGCCCAATGTGCCATCTTGGGAGTTTAAAGCTGGGCAGCCTGGGTGGAGATGTAGAGGCAAGAACCTCTCCTCCTTCAACCACTTGATGCTGCAGACGTAGCCACCTCTGCCCTCAAGCACAAGCTTTTGGTGTGGGTGAGCTGCGGAACAAGCAGTTCTAGGATGGTGGGTGGGATACATCCCCAGTAGTACTCTGCTCACTGCACCCACATTCTGCAGAGATGGTGTGGCTCATTTTGCTCCCTTCATGGATGGGCAGTGTTTTTGCAGCTGTCCCAACCTGGGAATAGCCCCTGGGTCTCTAAGTCACTGGATTTAGCAAGTCCCTGGCACAACCACACATCCCCTGCCAGAGCATTTCAGCCACAGCCCACAAACAGACTGGATGCACTGAACACCGCAGGTTGAGATGCCCCCACCACCTCTGATACAGCTGGGTCAAGGTAGGAGCTGGGAATCTGGGCACCTTTGTGCCCCTAAAGGACAGAAATCATGGTCATTGATGAGAGAGGGAGGTGTGAGTAGCATGTGTGCCCCACAGCTGCCCACCTCTGCTAATCTTGTCAAGAGGGGCCCACCTCTCCTGTCACAGGCTCTCAGTGTATCTGCCCCCCTCCTGCCTGAGCATTTTTCTGGAGCAATAGATCACCTCATCCCTCACTATCACAACCAGTGCCTGAACTCATGGAAGCTGGAGGAAAATTTTCCAGCCCACTGTCAGTTTGGTCCCCATAATATAAGCATGCCATCCAGGGGCCTTATACGTGGGGATTACCTAACCTAGTCCACTTGGCGCCTGAACAGTCTACCAAGGGTCTAATGTCCAACCAACACAAACTTCCAGCAGCACCACAATGAGTACCTATCTGTACAAGCCGAAAGGCAGTGTATGTCTCCCTCTCTACGCTGAGCAGCAGAGTTCACAGCAGAAGAGAAGGTGCAAGGCCGTTTTGAGCTTAGGGAAGAGTTTCCAGATGAGAAGGAACCAGCATAAGAACTCTGGCAGTATGAAAAAACAGGCTGTCTCAGCACCCACAAAGGATCACATTAACTCTCCAGCAACAGACTCCAACCAAAAGGAAATTTTTGAAATGTCACATATGGAATTCAAAATATGGATTGCAAGTAAGCTCAATGGAATTGGTGAGAAAGTTCAAAACCAACACAAACCAAAAAAGTAATTAAGACCTAAATGAAAAATTCACTAAAGAAATAGATCATTTTTTAAAAAAATAACAGAACTTCTGGAATTGAGAGGGTCATTTAGGGAATTTGAAAATACAATGGGTCTTAACAATAGACTAAACCAAGCAGAAAAAAGAATTTCAGAATTGAAGACAAGGTTTTCAAATTAACCCAGTCAAAAATACAAAAGAATCAAGAGAAATGAACAAAAATCTCTTGAGAAATATGGGATTATATAAAA